CACCTGGAGATCTCTCCTGTGTCTGTGTGGACGTCTCAGATAAATAGAACGTTGTTCTACAGAGCCCTTTGTTACTCTGTTCCAGTCTTCTCCCTCTGGTCATCATCCTCACTCCCCATTTGGTTCCCGACCACTTTCATGTCCTCTCCACTTTGCAGGCTGTTTCAGCTTCCCTGTAGTTCTCAAAGGTGGAGGGAGAGGAGACCCTGAAGTTGGAAGAAGCCAGCTTCTTCTACAAATGAGTCTCATTTGCCTCCTCCTGGCTGGAGAGCAACTCCTGCAGCTTTCCTTGGGGGTCTCAGTGCAGCCCAGAATGCTCTGCATGCCCTCATCACACTGCTGTGACCCCTTCAGCTTCTCTTGAAGGACCCAGACCAGGGCAGGAAAGCATGGCTGCCCTCCTGTTTCTGGATTCAGAGCTTGCCTGCCTTTGGAGTTGAACTTGGGCCTACACCTAATTTGACCTTGCTAAGCTTTAGTTTTGTCATCTGCAAAACAAGGAAGCTGATATCACTTGCCTCTTAGGATTGTGGTGAGGGTTACACGAGGCTGCCAGTTAAAGGGCTTAGCAGGAAATGAACTCTCAGCAAAGCACAGTTCTGATGAGTGACACTGAATGTCCACCTGAGAGCAGGCCCAGGCCTACCTGCTCTCTCAAAAGAAAGGCAGGGTCCTCACCTTTCTGTTTTGTTCTTTGACACAAACATTCAAATGAAAAATGATATAAAAAATAGACTTTGGTTAGTTCTCTGCTTTACCAGAAGGCTCTTTGCCTAGAAGAATCACAGCAGAATTTCTTTAAATAATTGCACTTAAGATATGAATGAATGTATAGAAATGTCATATATATATTACCAGTATATCCATCCTATTCCTCCGATAATCATTTGGATGACATTTCTATACATTCTCATATATGTATGTATGTATGTATATATATCCAACAAGGTTCATTTCCAACCAAAATAAAAAGGAGAAATTTTACTTAAACCTTTCTCTGAGCACCAGAGCATTGCCAAGGGCAGTACTGAAGGTCACAGACAGATGGGATGTGAGAGCTGGAAGGGGCAGTAAATGCCTCTTTTCATGAAGGAGTAAACTGAGGCAGAGAAGTGAACTGATTAACTCAAGACCCCACAGGTATGTGGGCAGAGCTGAGTCAGGAACACTGATTTACTGACTCTGATCCCAGCATCCTTTTTTCCCAGAAGATGGAAATCTAAGGATTACTTGAATATTTTCTTTTTAATGAATGACTTTATTTCCTATCCAACCAAACTCCTTAGCAGAACTTGCCATAGGAAATGGAATTAAATTGTTTGCAATTTTCTCTTTCCCTCCCCAGACTTTCCAGGTTACTGAAGCATCAGGCTTAGCTAGAGAAATCCCTGTCAGAAAAGCAGGGGGTCACTTGAGGCTTCTGTTTTGGATTCAGGAAGGAAGAAGGAATGCAAAAGTTTAGCATCTTGCCCAAAAGTGCTGACTTCAGATGCTCTGGGGATTAGAAACTAGCTTCTCCACTCTTCCCTGCACTTGCGTGCCCAGGTAGAGAAGGAAAAGTTGCTGCTGGGTTATAGATGTCTTTTATAAATCACAGGACTAGGGCAAGAATGAACACAGATTCCAGAAGCCATGGTAGTCGAGCCATAAATCAGACAAGCACTCCCCAGCTGCCTTAAGGCAATTTGGCATTGCTGGAAAGAGAAGAAAGGTCTGGAATGATGGGGAAAATAGCTTGTGTTCCCTGCAGTAACTGCTTTCTGTGCTTCACAGCAGGGACCATATTCACCCAGGAGAGCACACACATTTGCACCTGTAGGAGACCAACACACGCACCTGGAAGTGTGTGTGTGTGCCAAGGTCTCGGCTTGGCATCAGAATCAGGAGCCACCACACAGCTTTGTAGGTTCAAACAGCAATTCTTTATTCCCACTCTCACACCGCCTCCACACAGGTCCAGGGGCAAACG